GCTGCAAGCAACCACTAATTAGTGTTGGAAGTTACTGGAAGAGAAAAGATGAAGATTGTAGAACAAGATAAAGATTGACAGACGACTGTCAATCGTTAAAAAAGATTGCAAATTATACGAATCAGGAAAGCAAGATGAAGGAAGCGAATTCCAAAGAACTGATGTTCAAGGAAAAAAACTAGATGAATAAGAGTTTTTGAAGCATTTAGGAACAGTAACAGAAAAAGAATGAGACTTAATTGAATGACGAGTAACACAAGAATGAATTTTTGTAGATGGCACAAGAGACGCTAGCTCTTTAGAGCAGTGCCCATTATAGTATTTGTAGATAAGAGAAAGAGAAGCAACATTACGACGATGTGACAGAGGTTGAAGGTTGGCTGCAAGAGCAGGTCCAACTATGTTTACAACGCATTTTTGCATCTTGTCTAAAAGAGAAAGGGCATCATTAGAAGATCTGCCCCAGATATGGCAACAGTTTTCCATACAAGGCCGGATTTGAGATTTGTAGAGAATAAAATCCAGAGTAAGAAGATCCTTTTCAAGCTCAGATGCCCCCTGCAAGCAATCAGAGGGAGTTAGCTTCTTATCGTGACAAGAATAAATGGTAGTCATCAGCGAACAATGCTATCTTAGATGTGAGAAAATCTGGAAGATCGTTAATGTAAATTAAAAAGAGTATAGGGCCAAGGATTAAGCCTTGAGGAACCCCTGAGGTTACAGAATAAGAAGAAGAGTGTTGTCCATCAAGGACAACTTTTATACTACGATTGGAAAGGAAGGATTTGATAATCTTAAAGGTGTTTCCAGATACACCATAAGAAGAAAGCTTATGGAGAAGACCAGCATGCCAAACTTTATCAAACACTTTTGAAATGTCAAGTGCGATGACCTTAACCTCGTCACCTTTATCTAATGCGCAATAAAACCTATCGGTTATTACTGTTAGCAAATCAGCCATAGAACGAGAAGATCGAAATCCATATTGATGATCAGAAAGTAGGTTATGAGATTCAAGATGAGAGATTAAGTGTTTGTTAATTAAAGATTCAAAAACCTTGCTTATGATAGGAAGAAGACTAATGGGACGGTAGTTAGACGAATTAGATCGCTCTCCAGAATTTTTAAAAATAGGGATAACAGATGCTGCTTTCCAGCAGGCTAGAAAACAAGACTCTGATAAGCACTTGTTAAATAGTTTTGAAAGGATAGACAACAGCTTCGAAGAACACTTCTGCAAGACTATAACAGGTTTGTTGTCCCGGCAGTAAGCTGTAGAAGAGTCTAAGCAGGAAATCACTTTAGATACAGAAGCTGGAGTGATACGGATGTCGAGCAGTGGATCAACCTGTTTGACGGCTATATCAGGTAAAACACAACTAGTGGAATCCAGAGATGATATTGATGAAAAGTTCTTGGCAAACAATTCAGCTTTGTCTTTAGGTGAGGTGACAAAGTCTGAACCATACAAAAGAGGTGGAATTACAGACTTGCCCTTATTATTGATACTATTAAAGATTCTCCAGAAGTCACGAGAGCCTAATTTTTGTGATGAAATACGAGACTTCATGATCTGAGAATAGCGGGCTTTGGCGTTAGACAAAACCTTTTTACAATGGTTCCTGTAGACTTGATAATTTATTCCATGCGTGTTTAATTCATAACTGTTTCAGTATATGACGTCATCGTATAAATTTTTTTCTTTCAAGATATCGTATTATTTTATTTCACAAAATCATGTTAATTGTATAACTTTTTATTAAACTTCAAAAAAAAGTTTATAATGCAATTAAAAATTGAATTTATAAAATTTATAAACATAAAAATTTAAAATATAACGAATATTTACAGTAAAACATACTGGTTTAAACTAAATATAAACTAGATACTAAAAGAATAATTTTGTTAAAGAGTATAAATTAATTAAAGTATAAACTGAATAAAAAATGAGTGACTTAAATAAAACATAAACTGAACTAAGTAGGAAATAAATATTAAAAGAATTATTTTACTAATAAACATACAAATCAGACTGAATTAAAGTTAAAACAAATATTTGTACTAAAATATACAAAAAATAGTTATAATATAAATATAAAAACGAAGAATCGCATTAACTTGTTTGCTACCAGCCGAACAGAAATCTATTAGTAGCAATTGCACATTTTTTTGAATAATATTTGAATAGCATAACATTGACAATTAATTTAAATTCGATAATAATAAAGTTTTTAACACACATCATAAAACAATAAGAAATGCAAAGTGCTTAAAACCACTGTTTTTTTTAAATAGTAACTAAAAGATTAAGTCAGAAACAAACCTTGTTTAATGAATAAAAATATATTTTTTTCTTAAATACTTTGTTAATTACTTAACTAAATACTTAACATTTTAAAACTTAACACTTTAATACTAAACACTATAAAACTTAACAAGTTAAGTTTTACAGTGTTAACACTGTTTTATTTTATAACTAAATTTAAAGAAGTTTTTTTATGAAGCATTATTCAAGATTTTTTAACTTTGTGATAACTTTTTTATAATTACATAATATAACTTTTTTCTTGATTGTGTAGAGAATTAATTAAACCATTAGAACAATCAAATTCTATGTGTCTAGAATGGAAATTTATGTACAAAACAAGCTAAATTGTTAAGCATACTCAAAAGCCGCTACCAGTGGCTTACGGTAGTGAAAGAGTTAAACCTTAACTAAATGTAAATTAAACATAAAATGAACAACTCTATTAAACCATATGAACTAAATATAAAATTTTATTTCTGTCTGCGAACTCTAATAATCACAAAATATGTCACAAAAAACGTGTCATGATTTTGGCTGGCTTCTAAAACAAAGTAATAATAAAGCAAGTGAAAAAAAAAAAATAATAAATATAAAAATACACATATATACACATATTTGTACAATTTTTCACTATATTACAAACATTTTTTGTGATTTAGTAAAAAATTATACAAATATTTTATTTTCTGATTGTAGTAGAAAAAATACTTATATCTTAAAAAAAAACAACAAAAAAACTTAAATTTTAAAAAGATATTGCGAAGATGTCATATACCAAAACTGTTATGAAATAAACACCCATGGAATAAATTATCAAGTCTGCAGATTGCGGCTAACATTATACAGACCCCGAGAACCAAAAAAAAATGAAGAAGATGACTTTCGAATAAAAACAATAATTTTAATTTTGTTGGTATGCATTCATCATATTGTTTCAATTTAAAAAATTTAGCACAAATGTTTTTTTTAAACATTTTCATTAATATAAACACAACTTGTCTCGGCAGTTGGGGATCCCTTTAATAATAATAGAGTTATCTCAACCAGCGAAGTAGCTGTTGATCATATAAAATATTTTAAAAAGAGAAAATTTAATAAACTACATATAATTATTTCATATTTTACATATAATTTCATTATTACATATAATTATTTCATAATTTTCATAAATTAATTTAGTTATCTTTAATGAAAAAAGAAAAATATTTAAATATTTTTTATAACTGTTCTTGTTTCTTACATTGTTTTTACTAATTCTAAATTTTAAAATAAAGACTTTTTATTAATTTACTTCTTAATAAATGTTTGTTTAACATCTAAAACTATAAATATATACTACTTTTGTGGACTTTTTAAATTTGAAAGTAAAATAATTTTGAAAATGTTCAAAACATATTAAGTTTTTGAAACATTACGATTTTAAAAATTGGCCTTATTTTTTCTAAATTATTTTTTTCTTCAAAATGCAAAATATCCGACCATATAAATAAAGTAGGCCTTGGTGTATGATAGTATTACCTCTTTTAGGAATATATATCTCATATATGTTTTACCTCTTCTTAGAATAAACATTTTTATTTGCAAAGAAATTTCCTCTAATTCAATTTCTAAATTTCATGGCCATTTTTTCTGACAGCAGACAAACAGGTTATTCTATTGCTAAAATATTTGGTCTCCAATGGTTGAGTTGTATTTAACATAACTCTTCTACAGGATATGGTCCAGACTATTCCAGAACACTCTTTAATACTCTCTTACTTAATTAACAAGCTAATTGAACCTTATTTTCCTGCTGTTGGAAATAAAATGTCATTTAAAAAAAAAAGCACTGGATATTCTATAGAGTCAATATATTTTATGGGTATAAACCTCTACTTGCAACTTTGGAAACCTATTTTGGAGCACTTTTTTTCACTTTATTATCATAGCAATATTTTGAAACTATTGCGAATAAAAAAAAATTCACAATAAATTTTTGAGTTAATTTAAAATGTCAGTTATTTTATGAAATAGTTAAAAAAAGTTATAATACAGCATATTTATGGTTGAAAACAATACTAAAATATAGAAACTAAAATATACTTTATTGTTGATACAATTTTTAAAGAAGAGACTCAACAGCAACATCAACTGCATTTATATTCTTCTGTACTACTGCTGTACTCTTGCACTTGGGTTGACAGTTCTGAAATTTTTTTAAAAAGTTTCATGACAGTTCTGATATGTTTCTTGGTAATTTTGAAGAAGGTAATACTGACATGTAAACCTTTTTCTCAGTTGTGTATCTCAGTCATGTATCCTATTTGTTTTATTTTTTTATTATGATTTTAATTCTCTTAAAGTCAAACCTAATTCAACTTAATTTAATTTATTTTCTCTAAAGTTTTTGACTGCTCTTTAACCATTATACTTAGTCTAAAAAAATCATCATTTTTTGATAAAATCAAAAGCATTTCCCTGTTGATTTTTTATGTCTAAAGGGAAAAATATTTTTAATAATTTAATAACTTATTTAATCATAATTTATTAAAATAAAAACAAATTCGCAAAAAAAAAAAAAAAAAAAATGTAAAAGTTACTTATATTTGAATTTAAAAAACAAAATTAACATGCAAAAAAAAAGTAACATGTAAAAAAGCAAATTAAATATAAACTATGCCAAAAATAAAAATAAACTTAATAATGAAAATACCTTGCCAAGTCTGCTGTAAACAAATATACTTTGCTGTTTCGTTCAAGAAAAGGCTGGGTATGAGAGCCATCTAAATGTCAAAGCCTAAACTCAACTGTTTTATTTGTTAACTGTATATTGTGAAAAAATTTAAAATATAAACACACACCCATTATACACACCTTCATTAGATCCTTAAGAATTATTCTTAAGAGCCTAACTGAGGCCTCAAAAAAAAAAAAAAAAAAGTGCTAATAAAAGAAGAATTTATCTTAAGATAGGGTAAGTTAACGCCAACTATAAAAACGATTATGTATTATTGAGTGCAAAAGTTATGAAAATTTTTTATTTATTTTGGCAATAATTTAAAGCAAAATTTTTTTTTAATTTTAACTAATTATTCTTGGTTACAAATCATCATAAGCAAAAACGATAGCCCCCATAAAAATTTAGAAAAATTTTCGTAAAAAACAAATTTTCAAAAAAAAATAATATTTAATTTATTTCAATTATTTAAAGAGGCAACAAGCTTTGTGGATTAGTTGCCAACCCCTCCTTTAATCCCTTAATTTAGGGGAAAAAGGATCCAAAAATTGTCATTTTGAGGAGACTTATGTGTAGACTTTTTTGATAATTTTTTGTTCTATTATATATATATATATATAATATATATATATATATATATATATATATATATATATATATATATAATAGAACACTGTGTTTTTTCAATAAATTTTTCTAATGATTTTAAGTTAATAAAACAGTGTTAAATGAAAAATTTGTTTTAATTAATTTTCTACTAATTTAATTTACATACGAAAAGGAATAAAGTTTCATTTGGTTAATTAAAAAAACTGAAATTTAAAAAAAAAAAAAAATCTAAATATTTAAAGTAATTATTTAATAAAGAGGGTTGATTAAGTAGATCAAATAATCTTCAAAATGATTGGTTCGAATCCAATACCCTCTGTTTATGAAAAATTTAATATTTTTAATAAGTTTTTTCACTTGTTTATCATTTAATAATTTTGTTCATAGAGATATTCCTGAAGTAAATCAACTTTCTTTTCAAGAGAGTGCCTCATCTTGTAGTAATAATCTAATATTTTTTCATAATGATACAATGTTTTATATAGTAATTATTCTTGCTTTGGTAGGGTGATTATTATTTTCTGTAATTTTTAATAAAAATTATAACAAATTTTTATAAGAAAATAATTTTATTGAAATTGTATGAACATTAATACCTGCTATTATATTAATTATTATAGCTATACATTCTTTATTTTTATTATATTCTATTGATGAAAATGTTGAACCTTCTTTAACTGTAAAAAAAAAATTGGTCACCAATGATATTAATCAGGGTTGCCACCATTATTTTGGAACAAAATTCCCTGATTTTCCCTGATTTTTTTGCCAAAATTTTGCTTTTTCCTCCCTGATTTTCCCTGATTTTTCGCTAAAATTTTGCTTTTTTCTCCCTGATTTTTCCAGATTTTTCCCCTTGAATTTTGCTTATTTCCACCTGATATTTCCAGCATTCAAATGCCCAAGCTTAACAATTAAACTTCTCCAATAACCCCAGAGCATTTTTACCTCAAAAAAAACAGATACGATAATCCCCCAATGAGTAATGAACCAATCAATTTACTTGAAAATTAAAATAAATAATCAAATACTTCAATCAACATATAAAATTTTTCTTTGAACCAGGGTATATTTAAAACGAATATGTTCAATAGGCATTGAAAACCTGTCAGACTTATTTATGGTACAAGATAATGAAATTCAAAAAAATGTAATGAATGTAATAAATTTCTAATTGTATGTTTTACATACATCTTTTAATACTCTTTGCTTTTCTTTAAGTCAATATTTATTTCTTCCAATATTTCTTGATCTAAAAGCATTATCACGCTATTTTCTTTTGGTTGGAGTTTTCTATTTTCCTCCTAATAGTTTTTATAATGTAATGAGGCACTACAAACAGCATTTATCATTTCATAGTTTATTTCTATTTTGTTAGCCTTCAATTTGTTTGACTCCATAAAATCCTTGATAGTGCGTCGAGATATAAGTGACATTCCTTTCATTTTTTTCACTGAGCATATTACTGGTAATACTGAAACCTCTCTCAATTGATGCTTGCCCAAAATAAATATCAAAACTTTTAACAAAATCTTATAATCTACACTAACTTTAATGGTTTCAAAATGAAACTTGTTTAAACAATTTCCAGTGTAAAAAGTATTTGAATACAAGTAAAAGAGTAGAAGAACTTTCCTCTAACAACTTTAAAAATTTTATGAAAGCCGATCACATTCATCTGAAGTAATATGTGAGCAAGAACTAGATGTAGTACAGATTTCATCTAATGAAGATCAGCTTTTTGTTGAGAAAAATTTGACACTGGACTGATGCAACCAGTTGCTTTCAGAAAAAAAATTTGATTCAAACTTCTTTCAAACGTTTTTTCCAGAATTCCAATGATAATAAGACGTAATCATTTAAATAATGCATATTTTTTCCTCAATTCGATTATGTCATGTTCTGCAGCAAATCCAATTGTCATTAATTTTAATAGCAGAAAGTTTTCCTTTTTTTGTAAAATCATATTTTTGAAGTTGCCTGCCATTAACGATGCTGCTAAGGATATCTTGTTTTATAATTAAACTTTTAACAGTTGAGAACAAATCTTCAAAAAGAAAAGGAATCATTGGGGCATTGGTTTGATATCTCAGTAAGATTTTCTGCAAAAAAACTTGCAATGTAACCAAAAAACTACAATTTAGTCAAAGTTAACTCATCTTTTGTTCCCCCGAACCAGAGTTGCTAGTCCTTGGCCTTGACCTTGCCTTAAGACCAAAAATTGAGGCCTTGGCCTTAATCTTGGTATTGAAACTGCTAGCCTTGGACTTGGTCTTGACCTTAAAAATTTTGGTCTTGACCTATAAAAAAAAAAACGAATTTTCTTATTGATTTTGTTTAATTCTGCCCATACCCTTGGTCTATTTTTACAAAATGTGGTTTTATTGTCACACCACTTGTTACTTACACTTGTGTTAATAAATGGCCTTAACGCAAGGTAAAAGTTAAAGTATTTAATCTTGAAAATGTTTGCGTAGATGTTGGCCTTGAAACTCTTAATTTTGTCCTTGGCCTTAAACTCTTGGCCTTGGGTTTGTCCTTGGCCTTGTAACCTTTGACCTTGATCTTGGACTTGTAACGCGTGGCCTTGGCCTTGATACTTTTGGTTTTATTAACAACTCTGTCCCAAACACTTGTCATAGCTCTTTCATTTTGGTTGCTTACTTTTAAGAAGAGTCTCCCAATACTTGGTTACTTTTTAAAACATTCCCCCAAATTAAACAAAGTCTATCTGCAACTTTTTGATATACAACCCAATGTTTTGAGCAAAATGCATAAGGAAAACACTCACATTCAGTAACAGTTACAAAATCAGCTCTTCTAGCCGAAGAATCATAAATAAAGGTTATATGATGCTTTCATTAACTTCTTATTCCACTCAGCAGATTGAAAACCTGATTTGAAACCATGTTTTAGATGAAGGTTACAGCTCCCAACGTTAAGAAGTTTAGGTAGCTCTTGTTGATCATGCTGTATTTCAAGAAGATTAAGAAGGGAACAGTTCACATTTGTACCTTCAAGAAGATTAAGAAGGGACCAATTCACATTTGTACCTTCTATACTTAGTTGAGTCATACTTTTAAGTAAATTCTTTGCTGTAGGGTGATCTAAAAATTTAGAGTCAAAGTATCTGGATTCAACATGATTTAGATGGCTGTTCCAAAACTGAATATTTAGATCTAATTGGCCATTTTTAAAAGAATCTTTCAGACTTTCATTAAGTGAAAGAGTATATAATAAGGAGATTTTTTTTATATTTTTAGTTAAAAGTCTGTAAAAATAAGACCCATTACCAAAATTAATTATATAACCAAGTTTTGTTTTACTCATTTCATAAGATTTAGCAATATAGCTATCAGGGAACATTTTCTGGTAAAGTAGGCCATTTTTATTACATGAGTTTAATGAAAAATTATTCTGTATTGCATTTAAAACAGAGTAGATTTTACTTTTATCACATTTATATGCTGTTTGAAGTGCTTGCTTTATAGGTGTAGACTGTGCAGACAAGATACTGGCTTTGACTTTTGTGCATGTTTTTTGCCATCCATGTGACTTATCATAACTCATCTGCATATTTGACAAATTAAATTCAACTTTTCATATTTTGCAATTGGCAGACTTATTTACACTGCCTATTACCAGCCATTTTTCAAATAAAGGATCACTTAACCATTTTTCTTTGAATTGAGTTGCAAACATTGATTTAATGTAAACACAATATGATTAAGTTTCTTGTTAAATGTTAAACATTAACCCTGGTACCCTTAAATTAGTAAAATGTTAAACATTAACCCTGGTACCCTTGAAAAGTAAAATTTTTATTAGAAAAAATATCAAAACATTGAAGAAAAATTAAAAAGTTCCCTGATTTTCCCTGATTTTGTCCTAAATCAATCATTTTTCCCTGATTTTCCCTGATTGTATCTAAATTTCCCTGATTTTCCCTGAATTCCCTGATTTCCCTGATTTGGTGGCAACCCTGTATTAATCATTTGAATATTCTAATTTCTCACCAAACATAGAGTTTGACTCTTGTATGATTCCTACTGCAGATTTAAATCAAGGTGATTTTAGATTGCTTATAACTGATAATGATCTTGTTTTACAAGTTAACACAAAAATTAAATTAATTATTTCAAGTGCTGATGTTATTTATTGATGAACTGCTCCTTTATTAGGTGTAAAAGTAGATGCAATCCCGGGTTGCTTAAACCAATTATAATTCATCATTAACAGATCTGGTAAATTTTTTGGTCAATGTTCAGAATTATGTGATCTTAATCATTCTTTTATGTCTACTTCTATTTATTCTGTTTCTCAAGAAAAATTTATAAAATTTATGTTTAATTTATTTAAAAGATAGTTTAATCTTACACTAATGGAAAAATTTTATTTAGTAAATTCTAATTCATGACCATTTTGTATATCAACGGG